CAATACCCCTTTTCTGGTCTTCCTCTTGATGATGTTGGCTTCAAATGAGACTTATGGACTGGGGCAATGTTTTGAGATGACATTTTTGGAATAACAACATATTACGCCTTTAGACGCAAAATTAAGTGAAGCCATTGCTTTAAGATATTACCATAGGCTATAGCAATTGTAAGCAGACAAGCTAAGTTGCACTTCCATTACTTTATTGTTATTGCTATTGCTATTATAAGTACTAATCAAACTGCCATTGCTATATTACCCAAGGCTATACATATTGTGAAATTCACGAATGCAACAAATGAGTATGAACACAAGCTTGAGTGCGATCATTTATAAAACAAAAAACAAGCTTGATTGCGGCAGCAGCCACGGTATGCATTGCATGAAACCTACCTTCCCTCCTTGAGACTATATGAAGTTCTAATTTTTCAGTTATACCTAGGTTTCTAACAGTTGGGGTGGGTTTTATTTCCTTCTCATTAACAAGCTATACTCTTAGTTACTAAATAAATTATGCTAGATGATTAATAAGAACATTTATGCTTCAGGAAAAATGACATATTTAGGCTTAATAGAAAAGAAATTAACATGAACAACATATAAGACAAGTGAAAAGGAACGTTGCTCTTTAATATCTCTCAAATGGCCCCACAAAAAGTTTCCAGCAAAAATGTTGAACAATATTTCTCACTTGCATGGGTATCTTGCATACCTCTGGGCATCCATTATAAATTACTATTGATTGGTGTTCGATTATAATTCATAGCAAACTATATCAGCAAACTTTATGACTGTGAAGTCCTCATTTCACATATGTCCTCTGGTGTCTTGAGTGGCACTAATGTTCTTTCTCCTTTCTTCTTGTGATAGCAGACACCACGTTTGACTGGATTATCATTACTTCACCAGAGGCGGGAAAGGTTTTTCTTGATGCTTGGAAGTAAGGGCTAGGTTGAAATTTTCCATTAAGGAGGGTTAATCTTGTCTTAAATTCTTCACCTTGTGATGTTGAATAACTAATTTATCTTTTTGACAAATCTTTAATACCGTTCCTCTGTTGGGTAAAATCTGTGTGAAGTTTGCTTTAAAAGTATAAAAATGTTGAGCAGTATACAAGACCTGATGTTAATTTGAGTCATTTAGTGTTTGACTTGTCTGTAAAACTAAAGTCATTGAAGTGTTTGAATATGTTGCTGCTTGCTTATGTAGACAAATTGTTGTTGTTATTATTTATTTATTTTAAATTTTGAGCAGCTCTTTTTTAATTGTTCCTTCAGAAAGTTTTAGAATCTTATCTACTTGTTGAAGATGTTTCATTCGACTCCGTAAGCTAAGATGCAAATACTTCCTATATGTTATGGTTGGTTGCTCTCATATTAAGTCTTGATTATCCCCTTAATTGATATGTCGCTTTATGTGACACAGTTTTAGTATGAACCTTCCATGGACGTATTCCTTGAAGAAGAGTAGAAGCTTGTATAAAAGATTCTCAGTAGATTGATTGTCAGCATACACAATTAGCAAAAAATCATTAGTGTCTACAGTAATGTGTACTTATGTTGTCAGGTGAAGTTTTTTTTGACTAAAATGGTACAAAAATTTAGTTCTCAAAAAGGATGATTGTGTACTATCTATGCTTTCCATTACAGTTAATTTCTTGATAGAAGCCTCAAATTCTTTAAGCTGCCTAAATGATCTATATTTGCTTTTGCACTATCTGGTTCCCTCATGTTTCTAATTTGCTACTTAGAGCTGCTGGGACCCCATCTGTCCGAATAGGTGTCGTTGGATCTGGTACAGCTAGCATATTCGATGAAGCTGTTCAGTCTTCAAAGCAGTATCTTGATGTGGCATTTACACCATCAAAGGGTATTGAGTCAATTTTCAGTTTTTCTTTGACATTTAAAACATAGCATACGCAACAAACATGTACGTGGGGGCTGACACTTGTATTTGTCATTTCGTTTAGACCCCTTGTATTTGCAGAAAGTGTCAAATGAAAATTTGACTGATATTTTCTTTTTCGTCACTGACTGAAAACTTCTTTTTGATTGCATTTTCAGCAACTGGTAAGGTTTTAGCTTCAGAGCTTCCAAAGAATGGGAATGATAAGTGCACTGTTCTCTATCCTGCTTCAGCAAAAGCGGGCGCTGACATTGGTGTGCATGATATTTCTCCTTCTCTTTATGTTTCTGTCTCTCCTCATTCTCCCATTCATCCAATTTTTTACAGAAATCTATTTTTGTATATGGAACTCTTAGTTCCTATGGAGGTGTCTTTTTCTATTTTCAACCATTATCCGAAAAAGTTAAAAGAAAAACAAAAGGTAAGGAAAGGAATAACCACAAAAATCATGGGTTCCTTTCCCTTTTACTAGCCGTAATTAGTACACAGATCAGGATTCATCTGATATCTGCAAGACTGCAACTGTCTCACCTTGATATTTCGTGTTTAGTATGGAAACTTTCCTCAGCATATGGAACTATGTGAATTAATCTTGAACAACATACGGCTTTTTATTTCAGAGGAAGGACTTTCTGAGCGGGGATTCGAGGTTACTCGGTTGAACACATACACAACGGTACAATATTTCTTTATTGCATCATTGGAGAATGACTCATTTTTACTCACGTGAGACTAGCGTGCTTGCAAATTTGGTTAACACGTACTTACCCTGATGAGAGGGTCACTTGTCCTTTAATCCCGATAAATTGTCAAAGTTTTAGCTATCCTCTTGAATCCTTAAGTTGATCTAAACTAATTCTCATCTTGTTGCGTATAATCTATGTCATTTCCTGCAGGCACCAGTCAATCAGGTTGATCAATATCTTCTTGAGCTAGCACTCTCTGCTCCTGTTGTTGCTGTAGCATCTCCCTCTGCCATCCGGTAGGACGCTCCAAAACTGTTCATTTTTATAGCAAAAATGAACGGATCATCTATTGATGTCTAATATTGGCATAAGCAAGCACTAGGTTGTATAGCTAATGTTTGTAATTCCGCCAACATACTAGAGAATATTATACATAAATGTTTCCAGATATTGTTCATTGAGCAGGGGATAGAAATGCACCATTATGTTCTTCATCCTTCTCCTTTCTCATTTGTTATCATTTTGCTGAGTTATGTGACAGGGTATGGACTAATCTTATTCCAGCATCGAGTCAGTGGGACAATGCTGTTGCATGTATTGGGGAGACTACAGCTTCTGCAGCTAAAAGACTTGGGTTGAGAAATATATACTATCCAACAAGTCCTGGTCTCGAAGGGTAACTTGTTGATTTTAATATCTTAATGTGTTCTTTTGTTGCATCTTTTCTCCCTTTATGTTTGTGTCCATAATTTTATAAGATACTTTGACTCTATCTTGTAAAGCCAATATGGAAATTGTTATTTTTAGTGCCCATGTTTGCCCTGTGTAGTTGGTATGATCTCTTTCGCTTGGAAGTAACTATTCACTGCCCGTCTCTGTTGGGAATTGGCTGTGGGAAGAGAATAAAGTGTCAAATTAAAGAATATGTTGCATTCTGTTCCTTGTCTTTATTCTTTCTTTATGCCTTTTCTTTCTTCAAAAGATTTCTACCAGTGTTGTCAAAGGCGCGCTTTAAGCGCGCTTAAGCCCTCAAGCGAGGCTCAAAACACGTTGAGCGCTTCGCCTCGCTTTGTGGGTGCTGTAGTGTCGCATCAAAGCTCTAACACATACTTTTCTTTGCCAATGAGTGTAATCCTGAAAAGGCGCCCTTAAACAATTGATATTTCACTTTATCATGATTTTTTTAAAAAATTTCTTTGCCCATATATTTGTTATTCATGCTTATAATGATTATTCTTGGACTACTATGCATATTTTTACTTTTTCTCCCGTTGCGCCTTTTTTCATTAAAGCCCACGCTTTATTTGCGCATTGCGCTTAAAGCCCCAACGAACCTTAGAGCTTTTTTGCGCTTTTCGCCTTTGATAACACTAATTTCTACTGTATATATTTTTTGTTTGTCCCTCCTGACCTGGGTTGTTTTTTATTTGAATTATACAGATAAACTAGTTAGAACCCTGATGGGAACAGTTTCGCAGGAATTCAATTTCCATTAGTATTATATCAAACATTGTGCATTAGGGCTATCTCTGAGCAATTTTAACCTTACTGTAACCAGTGAATATCGTTTGTTTGACCTTTTCGAAATTATGGAACTCACTTATTTCAAAAGTTCACCTACAAAACACTTAAATAGTTCTATGATCCACCTTTTTATTCCTACCTATTACCACATTTTTCTTGCGTCTTCATGATTGCTCTATATTACGTCACAGTACTTAATTTAAGGGTAATTACTACTCCTACATTCTAGGGTTATCATCTTATTAAGTAGCTTTTATTGAAGGGGTCCATTTTATTAAGTAGTTATGCTGAGTAAATTGGGTGATGTTGTGACTTTGATATTACTACCTCTCCTGCCCTAAGTTGCTCGGATACGGGTGTGGGTGTCTGATGCAAATGCGGATCTATAGGTCGGATCCTTCGAGATGTAAATTCTAAGTTTCGGGGATACAGATCCTAGTACGGATACGGGTGCGGGGATCTGGCTAAAAATAATTTTAGAAAAATAAAAATATCTCTAAATTATGAGAAATTTTGTGGAATACTTACGTATAGCTTGTAAAGTGTGGATTTCTTTTTTATTCTCAAGTTGTAGATAAGTAAATGTTTGATTTCCTAGATAAGGTATGCTATTTTCTTCAAATTTACTCTAGTTTTGGTTTTGATTTTGGGAATCAAATTGTATCTCGTCTCGAATTTTTCCGTCCGTCGTGGTCAAAGTACCCAAAATTGTTTGACCAGATCCGGTACGGATCTCGTACGCACACCCATACTAGTGTCGTGTCGACGCAAGTGCGGCACATAAACTGCCGTGTCGGAGCAACTTAGCTCCTCCCCATGGGATGGTTAACCCCAATGCCGTTGTTTCATTCAGTAACTTTTCTTGAACAGGGTATGCTTGTGTAATGGTGTCACCAATATGTTAACCCTATGACAGTGGCAGGTTTTGTTGTCAAGATTGGCAACTCGTCGGAAAGAATCGTCTAAAATTCTAGTGTTTTATTGAACTTCCTTATGAAGTTTTGGCCATTCAGTCAAGCGAAACTGCTATCTTCTTTTCTCTTAGACTGTCTGCGCCCTTTTTCACTGGATAACACTTCTCTACGAAGTAAACGTTAAAAAAAAAAAAAAAAAGACTAACTCTAACTACCTGAAGGATGTTAATTTCCTGCTGATGCTTTTAGGCATGTAGTGAGATATGTAGGAGGAGGCAAGGGACTATATATTGGTTTCCATTTTCCGTTGTGTGTTTGTAAGATTTGCTTAACTTTGATCTACTTGATGCTATGATCACATGGTGCAGGTGGGTGAGTAGCATTCTGGAAGCATTAAGTGTACATGAGCAAGTACAGAAGGTCTAAAGGCCGTGTTATGTGGTTTCTGGTAAATTCTTTTTCCAAAGTTCATATTTATTCATCACTGGCTATAAATGCATAATAGACCAACAGATAGACATGCAGACATGTTTAAAATGATTAATGTGCATGTCGGTCTAATAGTTTATGGGTTACTTACAAAAAATTGCCGTATCTTCAGATGGTGGGCTGAGAGAGCTCTGGTTCCACTCTACGGTCATCTTTGCAATGGCAAAGCTGATTAAAAGCTTTCTATACTTGCAGCTTCAACGTGGCGCTGTATTTTGAAATCTTTGAAGCATATATGCATAGAAGTGCGGAGGGAGGTGTAGGATCTAATTGACACAGCATATGAGGAGACGGTGGGGAGACGTAAAGTTTTGTTGTGCGGAGGTATTTACCCACTTGTCTAGCCAACTTTTCTTGTGAGGTAAGGCTGTCTTCTGTGAATAGGATCTTTTGTAATTGTTCCATATGTAGATATCCCTTTAACTTTCTCCTTAACATTTTTTTGGCTTGATGTCTGATGTCTTCAGAATTGACTATAAAGCGCCCCTCTCGGTTCATACTCCAACCTAAATTTCCTCAAAAGAGAAACATCAAACCTTGAGCTAGATATATTTATCTAAATTTTAGCCATTCCTCGTAATGCACAATGTGTTGATTTTTGTAATCGTTTACTTCAAGTACTCAAATCTTGTGCTCCATTTGTAAATATCTGCATGGATTACTCTGGCAGTTTGTAATATTTCAGTGTATTATTTAAGGAATCAACTGAAAAGTACGGTAACATAACAGCTCTATGGAGGGCTCTCTCATCCAAACATCTGCAGAGATTACCATCTTATGCTGTAGATGCGGAGTTCTTTGCGGTTCAATCCTAGAGGTGTGTGAGACTCTTGTTCCTGTGAATACAGCCTATATATCTCAGTGATTGCTTTGTAGGTTGGCGTTCCTAGTACGTAGTTTTTATTCAGTCTGCTTTTTATGGTTTTGCGTGACATGATTTTTTCCATGAGTATATTAAGTTTCCTCACGCCAGTATTTAGATGGTAATTGAGGAAAGTATTGCGGGACTAGAAGTAAACCAACCAAAATATCCACTTGCTGTTATAAAATAATTTTTTTGGTTCCATTTGTATTTTGTATTATCCTGCATTGAAGACAGGGAGAACCTGCCTTATAATCATGGTGAATGCACGCTCTAATATAAATTTAACAGTAGCGTCTTATCACTTGGTGCCTCTTCAATAGAATACCGTGGGCGCCATTGTGTTCATGGGATCTGAGGCTGTCACTGGAGCGCTTTCATCTGTATCTCCAATGTAATTGTTTTTTCCACGTGCTCATTGCGTCATTCTTATATGTTTGATACATATTGTAGTGGAAATTGGCATGCCTTGTCTGTGGAAACCAAATATATGTTTTAGTATTAAAAAATGTCACTTGGAGGGACTTTTGTGCGTATAAAATATAGGAAATGTCTTTTATAGAAGATACATCTTTCCATTCCACATCGTTATTTGGAATTTTGTATCAATGTGATCTAATACTTAAATTATGTTTTTCTTAAAAATAGCTACATTTGTTTATTGCATTTCCCCGTTGCTCGGGTATCTCCGCTTCGTGATTCAGTCTTTCTAAATTATTTTATGTTGAAGTACGTAATTCTGTTTGTGACACAATTTTTATGCATCTTCAGTTGGTTTTCAGGTGAGAGGTACATAAGAGTAGAGAGGTACATAAGAGTTGAGCTAAATGACGTGTTTTAACACACTTCTCTTACTTAACTACGGTTAATTAATATACATTCTCGCTTAATTGAATCGTTAAACCATGGTAAGTAATATGGTTTGGTGTAGACATTGTGTGGAGGTATTAGAGTCATGCTTATTTTATCTTTTTCATTTCTAAATAGGTGAGCAAATTTCTGAATTCGATCATTCTTTTTGATAATATATGAAACTTCAAGTACATAATTAACTAACAATAAGTTATTTAATCTATGAACAATAAAACTCTAATTAAGTATTGGTCACCACTTTTTTATTTTCTTAATTAGTTTCCAATTTAAAGTTATTCTACTTTACTTTTCCAGCTAATGAATGACCGTAACAATTCATAAGGTAAATAATCTGTGCCTCAATCTCAAACCAATTGGAGTTGGATGTATGTATCTTTGATGAGTTCTTTTCATGTTCTTTTTATTCCATTACATTAGAATTTGTCCTAAAAAAGTTATTATTTTTCTTTTCTTTCCGAAATTAGAAGCCTTTCGCATTCTTTTACGTTGATATGTGGATCACCCGCACTGAACTGAAAAAACTGAAGCCTAACAGGAAACATTAGGTACGATGCAAGTATAACAGCATTATTTCAGCCTTAAGCCCAACAGTGACAGCTTTAATGTTCATGGTAAGATGAGCAGTACTGTCGTGGAAGATGGTGTAAGCGGGCTGCGGGTTGCGACGTAATCACCAGCATAACTCTCGCTGACCCTCTGTTTTTGTAGTGGATGGAGCCGAACTAAGATTTCAAATTAGTTGGTACTGTACAACACCACTGTGACTCCTATTTTATATGGAGTCCAAATTGAGGGTGAAAAATAGTAGTCGGTATACTCTTATTCCTGTGTTCGGCATGACAAGTAGAGTCTTAATAACATAAGCAAGAATATCGGGGTCTCATCAAAGCCTATTCTATCATTGAATCATTTCTGTTCTCTGTTTCACGCTCTTGTTTTGGATGTGTCGAGGCGACCCCCGTTTCTACCATGCAATCATTGTACAGGAATCGGGCTTGTATATACGGGTGTAGCAATCGCAATATGGAGAGGTGGAAACCACCTGAGCTCTAATCCTCTTGCATATGCTAGTAGGGAGTTTAGGTATCTGTGGCGGCCATATATAAACCTGTCAATTTATTTAGTGTGAGAACTCTTGCTGAAAATATTTAAAACAACGATGTGTACTGTAGCCCAAGTCTTATATTCCTTCATAGGGGGAAGTGCACGGTTAGCCACTAGTAACACATGTATTTACTTTTGAGTCATTGTTTAAAATGTCTTTTGTTCTTTAGCCATTGCTTTAATAAATTTTAACTGCCCGGACAAAAATACCCTTCTGCTCATGTCCTTAACTTTTGAACTTAACTTCAGGACTATATGTCATTAACTTTTGAACTTGGAACTCTAAGTTTAGGACTTCAGGACTACATGTCCTTTAACTTTTGAACTTGTAACTGTAAGTTCAAGACCAAGTGTCGTTAACTTTTGATCTTGTTAGTCTAAGTTCAGGACCTATTGTCCTTAACTTTTGGGCTTCTTAGCCTAAGTTCAGGACCTATTGTCCTTAACTTTTGAGTTTGTTAGTCTAAGTTCAGGACCTATTGTCCTTAACTTTTGAACTTGTAACTGTAAGTACCTATTGTCCTTAACTTTTGAGCTTGTTAGTCTAAGTTTAGGACCAAGTGTCCTTAACTTTTGAGCTTGTTAGTCTAAGTTCAGGACCAAGTGTCCTTAACTTTGAACTTATAATTCTAAGTTCAGGACTAAGTGTCCTTAACTTTTGAACTTGGAACTCGAAGTTCAGGACCAAGTGCCCTTAACTTTTGAACTTGTAACTGTAAGTTCAGGATCCATAACGTAGCAGAAAATCAAACGTTATTTGTATCTTTTCACAAAAAAATAAAAATAATAATAATTGCAATTTATATATAAGATTGATGTCAAATTACACAATCTTTATGAATCAAGTTGTTTTCTTAATTTGCTTCTTTTATGGTAATTTTGTAGCCTCCTGCTTCCTTTATGGGAACTATGGAGGAATACATACGAGAAGCACCACAGGCAGGTTCCATGTCAAGTAGGAGGCTGGTGAGAACTGGAAAATACCCTGGATATACACTGTTGAGCTATCAACATTCTCTTTTTAGTTTTTTCCTATTTGATCACAGAAACAAACATAACTAAGATATTTAAAAACTTGTACTAGTATGACTTCTGTTGGTATTGATATTTGAACCATTGCTCAAATGGTTCAGATGCATTGACAAGGAGTTTAGTAGGTAAAAGTAAAAGAGAGAATCCTAAGCTTCTAGAGAACTGAAATTGGGGCCACTTTATAAACTAGTTTCATTTAAGAGAAGCAACCATTTTTAAGACCCCTCCATAGAAATCAACCCTCAAAACTCCTGTGTCAGTGATACCACTATATTTTCATTTGGGAAGGAAAGGGTAACAACGTCCTTTCATATTATTTTTAATAAACTAGTGGCTACTTTTGCTCAGCATTAAAAATGCTGGATAAAAAGTAAATACCATTTTAAATAGTGGCTACCCCATACAATTTTTACTCCCTCCATATGGGGAGGCTCAAGAGGTTGAGTCGGGTTTTAAAGTTTAGGGAATTTGAATTTGTCATTGAATTCATCGCTCGTTTTATTTATTAGGTTCACAATTAAATATTTATACATAATAAATTTCTCAATACAAAGATAGGATCTAAGCAAGAATATATAGGTACGTTCAAACCCGTAACTAATCCTATACCTCTAGGAAGCTTGTTAATGATTAGCTTCAGTTAGTATTGCATATCTTTTAGCATAATAAGTTACTTAGTTTTATGATAAATATACTTTTCTGAATTTAAATTTCGGTTAGATTTTTTAGGTTTATTGAGATATTTTAGTTTTTTTGAATTCTTGTTATACAGATTTTTCTGCAGATTATGTTCCTAATTGGCTATTTAAAGCCTTGTTATACTTAATAAAATTATTGAGAGACTTTTTCAATCAATACTTTTAATCTTTTTGCTATCCCATCTTTAAAAAACCAACAAAGCTAATTTCCACAGTGAAAAAAAGAGTATGCGAGGCTGGAGTTTGGTTGATAACGTGGCAACAAAATGCCCATAGAAGTATAAAGAGAACAAATGAAAATGTTCTTGTCATTTCATCAGATTCGGCAATCACCCCTCCGTATATTAGAAATCCTCTAGACACCGATCAATCTTCACCAGTAATTTTGTCTTGTTAATACTTGAACTACAACATCTAATAACCGTTTCATAAATTAATCACACTGTGATAGTATTTTATTTCAATCTATCCAAACAACCAGACTCTTAGGCCACCGCGTGATCAAGTGAAGTAAATCTAATATTGTTTGTTGCTATGCAGATAAAGCAAATATGAAGTCTTCCATTATAATTAGCTTTACTTGAATGATACAGACAACAGAAAAATGATAAATGCAGACATTTTTATTCAGTTATGGAGAAATGAAAGCTTTATTGTAGCCTACTACTCCTTAGGGGGAAGCTTTCCACTAAGAAAATAGGAGAAGAAAGCAAGGGCACGACTTGGCTGATACGTTGGAACAAAATGCCCTGCTCCTCTTATTGTCATCAACGTCAAGTTTTCGTACTCCTCTACATATCCACCAACCTACACAAAATCAACACCATCATTTAGCTTCTTGACCATGTAACAATACTCAGAGAATGATCTAGAATTTGAAGTTTATAGTTTCCTGTGCTAACTATTTAGCTACTGATAAATGAGCATTCGTTGTCCACCCGACTCTATCGTTGACAACCGATTCCGCCAAATGCAAGAAAGTACATCAACAATAACAACAAACCCAATGCACTCCCACAAGTGAGGTTTGGGGAGGGTTAGGTGTACGCTGCCTTCAGGGGCGGATGCACGTTTATCCAAGCGGTGTCATCCGACACCGCTTGGTTGGAAATTTTTACAATATACACATATATGCAATTATCAGAAAACGATTACAAATACTATAAAATGACCCTTTAGGCTGTAATGTGTTTTCTGGTGTAGTGGTCAAGCGCTGCATATTTTTAACTGATGTCATGGGATCGAACCTCAATGGTAGAGATACTTTTGTTTGCAAACTTTTTAGTTTGATTCTTTTGAAAAATTAGAGTTTATAGAGAGTTGAACCCTCATTCTCATTTTCAAAAATAATCAGTTAAACCTGAGGGACAAGACACCTTTCACGGTCCACAAGTGCTAAAAAAAATATTTTAACGCATAAAGTAAGTTATTTCAGCATATTTGATGGAATTTGAAATCTTAATTTTAAAATGATTACTCTACTTCTACAATTTGCAAATTTTGGATATGCCGACTTGCTATTGTTATTGTTTAGACTTCTCTTCTCTCTCGTTATTTATTCCGGTTTGTCTTTTAATTTCGACACCACTTAGTAAAACTTCTGCGTACGCTCCTGGCTGCCTTACCCCTATCCTGGAAGGGCAAGGAGTAAAAATAGCACGGTCTAGCCAGTTTTCGGACTGGTCATTCAAAAATAGCCAGCGCTTACCAAGTCAATGAAAAATAGCCAGTATTTTGCTGCAACAGAGACCGGTCCAGCATGATATACTGGAGTTCGGTGCACCTATGTATGAACTTCCAGCATATTATGCTGGAACTCCAACACACGGAAAGTTTCCAGCATAATATACTAGAGATTTGAGCACTTGTGTATGAACTTCCAGCATATTATACTAGACCGGTATACTTTGCTGGAACTCCAGTATATTATGCTAGAGTTCTAGTGTATTTATGCTGGAACTCCATCATATTATGCTGGAGTTCCAGCATACTTATCCTAGAACTCCAGTATAATATGTTGGAGTTCAAGTATACTTATGCTGGAACTCCAGCATAATATACTGGCGTATTTTCCGGGTTTCGAGCAGTGTTTTCGTTCAGATTTATCTTTACATAAAAAGTGGCTAGATTTCGATTACTTTTTTTGAAACTGGGCTATTTTTGAACGACCACTTATAAATCTAGTTATTTTTGAATTTCTTCCGGGCAAGGATGCTGTTTCTGATCCAAATGCAAGTAAGTGAAAATGAAAAAGAAAGATAACAAATTTTTTTTCTTTATGAGCATTTACCTCTCCCTGGAAATACCAAGGGTACCAAGCTGTCTTGATTGGTAACTTCAGCTTCTTTATAGCATACCTCGTATCTGTCACTGGCACTATAACATCCATGTCACCACTGAAAAGCATATTGTCATTTGTTCAAGCTTGTTAAAATTCCCTTTTATCATTATGTAAACTTGAAATTCTGTAGATTTTTCCCCATAAATCTTACCTATACAGCCAGATTCTTAAGCCACTCTTCATCAAGTGACGCAAAAGTGGCAAAACGGTCAACGGTCTATCTTTCCAGCTGAGATTAAGCGTGTTACTGTTCTCAATAAAAGAAAATTTATGATATTATGTTAGAACTATGCTTAGAAATATAGATAATAGGAAGAAAAAAGTGTTTTCACTAAATCAAGAGTGTTATACTTGCAGTTTTGCCATGGATAGGGAAGATTTGTAACGTTTGCATGGATAGCCTTTTGAACTTGTGGTTTGTTAAAATAGGACTGAATATAAACTGGCATGCAGGGATCAACTTCTGAGGTCTATTCCAAAAAAAAAGAAAAGAAAAGACCAAACAATTTGAGAGCATTAGTTAATTGTACATTCTTTAGTTTCTCTAAGACAATAAACGGGGCAAGTGCACGGATAGCCATTTTCAGGGATGCTATTTAGCGATTAGCCAGTACTTATTTTGTCTTGAAATTTTAAACTAAAAATCTTAACTTTAGGACAACTCAGGAAATTCTCTTGTCCTGAAAAAGTGAACTCAAAAACTGAAATTCAGGACGCACTGGCTAATTCCTAAATAGCAGGCCTTTAGAGTGGCTACCTGGCGTTATATCTACACAATAAACGCTACAAATGATATAACACTGCTTACTGTGGTACTTGAGGGTGATACATTAGGGCACAGTGGCACGTAAATGTTGTATAGAAAAATATTTCCAATTTCTTTGTCTATTTGGTCCAAGTAGTTCTTGCATTTCTTGGATGCAGAAGATGGAGTAGAAAAATTACAACTTGATGTGATTTTGTTGTATAACTCATCTGATATTAGAGCATGAGACCAGTAATATTCTGTTGTTCCTTTCATGTTGGCTTCAAAATCAACATAGGCATTGCCAATCTGAGACATGAATTTCATTAAACAATAATAATGGTCTAATTAGAGGTAAAAATGAGCTGCTAGAGATGTTACTCAGATTAAAAAAAAAATTACAGTGATTCCTTTTAAATTGATAATAGTGTGATTTGAGTAATTGTTGCGCAGAAGTATAAGCTGAGCGAGTTGAGGTACATAATGCCCGGCATAGCTCTCTCCAGCAAGGTAAAAGTCCCTTGTTTTGTATCCTGGAAATCGTTCGAGCCAATTCACTAGAAAAGTGTAAGAATCAATAGCTGTTGTTCTATCTCCACTAAAATTGTAGTCCGCACTTGTGTTTGTATATGAAAATCCAACACCAGCAGGCGATTTGAGAAAGATTACGTTGGCCTCTGATAAAGAAAATGTCAAAACTCATTAGTGTATGTTCTTAATGTCCTTCACTTAGGGTTGATAATAGTACAGCTAGTCCTTGAGTAACTGACCAGAAATCCATGAAAATTGATTCCTCTGTAGACTGCCATCTTTGTTAACTCTAAATGGCCCAAGTTCTCCAAATGCTCCCCCTCCAAGTGAGGAACAACCTGGCCCTGTTTGTTACATAATGTTTTCAGATGTTCAAGAAGAAATAAAAAAAACATTTATGAGCATGTATTTTATTTCAAGGAGGAAGGTTCAAATTTACCCCTCTAACACATCAATTAACTCGATGGACAAAGCATCCCGTGTTCACACAAGATTTGGGGAAGGACAGCACCCTAAGGGGTGCGATGTAGACAGCCTACACTAACGCAAACATTAGTGGTTGCTTCCATGGTTTGAACCCTAGACCTATAAGTAACACAGAGATAACTTTACCATTACTCCAAGGCTCCCCTTCTTACCCCTCTACTAGTGCCGAAGCCAGGAATTTCCTCAAGGGTGTTCAAACTTGAAAGACGTAAAAAATTCTCCGACAAAGAGTGTTCAATATATGTTATATACCTTTAAACTTTAATATTTTACTTATATACACAGTGTAATTTTCGGACGAAGGGTGGTCAACGTGTAGCTTCGCCGCTGCCCTCTACTACATGAAATATCTTAATTCTCCCACAGTTATATTGTGCGGCCATTTATATTCTTGATGTTAGCATTTAACAAATTGTCTGGCACATGCCTTTGACTTTATCGGACCTCTAACATGAACTGAATGGATTCCACGTGTCAAAATACTTCAGGAAAAAGGTCCATCTTTACCTTTCTACATTTGTATATGGTTTAAAGTTACCCTTCGAGGTTGAAGCTCCATGTGATCAAGGATAAATACGAGACAGTTTGCTAGGGGTAATTTTTTAACCCTTTTCATATGTTTTTATAGAGTTCTTAAAACAAGTTTAGCTACAAGCATGTCATTTAACTTCAGCCTGAAACATGCAAACTGTATGTTCATGTTGTACAATTTGCCATTCAGAATTCTCTGAAAAAACATGGTAATACTTGATTGTGTCAATATATAACTCTGCAGATGTGAAAGAACTATTTGATCTCATTTCATCATTTGGAATAATGAAACATGTAAGAAAAAAATAGGAAGCTAACCTCCATTGAGCCATAAGACAAGGGGCTTAGAACCAGAATCTTGAGGCGACTCGACGAAATAATAAAACAAATTTCTTCCAGCAGTTGGATCAACGGTAACACACCCTGAGTACTGGTTAAAATCTACACCTTGAGGTTGACCAGGTAATTGTTCAATTTTTTCATTCTCTTTGAGAGAATTTTGAGACCTAACATGCACTGGTGAAGTCCTACTAAGTTGTGGATAATAAGTAGTAATAGTAGTTTTTTCTAAGTCTTGCCTGAAATAATTGTGAGCGCTACTGTGTTAAAACACAAAATCAGAAAAAAACTGTTAGAAAAATAAAAGAAACTGGAAAAAACAGAAGAGTTTAAGAAATATTCCGAGTCCACAATTTGCTTGTGTGTCCTTAAGGAATTTTAACCCCCTCACACGTTGCCAAGGTAATGGATTAAATCCTCCCACGATAAAACGGAATAAACCTTCCTGCAATAGTGGCAATACAAACTGCAGGATACCAACGAACTTAAAGAACGGAGCAAAATCACACTTACGAATTTGAAAGAGAGAGACTGCGAATTAGGATGCAGTATATTCAAAAAGAAAGAAGTTCTGGAGTGTTTTTCGTGTCAAGAAAATGGAGTCTTGCCTCAGAATTTATAGGCAATTATCAGAAGAGGTGTCTGGAAAAGGTGCCTTTTCAAAAGAATACGCTGTCTGCCGCGGTCAGAGAGGCTCTCTGAATCAGCCTGCCGAACCGCGGTCAGAGAGGCCCTCTGAACCAAAAATAATCTTATCGATCGATCATTTGACAAATCCAAATCCAAATCCAAACGAAGCCGAAGCCGAAGCCGAGCCGAGCCGAGCGAGCGAGCGACGACGGCGCGAGGGTTCATTCTCTTCAACTCCTTTTATGAGCTTTAAGAAGTGATTCTATATATAAGCACACAAATGTGGTTGTCCCTCACCATTGAGGGACAAAGTGCAAGACAAAAGTTCACTTCTTCAAATTTTCAATTTCCCTTCATTTTATTTCCCTCCATTTCCAATTCACACTTCTTCTACTTTAAAGCCCAATGGCTTAAAGTCTAACAATCCCCCACATGAATGGGAATGGCTGTATCAAGAAAGATCATAGATGAAAGCTATGTGATTTTGCAAATAAGGATTAATTGCATCTGGATAAGTAGGTTTCCCTTTGAACTTTCCGTAGTGAACATATGTCGGATATACTCGGTCAATCGGTAGATTTGATATCTTTGAACCGTCGAACTTTAGTGTATACCTAGACAACCATATGTCACACAACCAACCCTTAACCATCTTTTGGTTCTCATTGTTGTGTTCGTTTTAGCCATGAACACCGTCTGGTTTCATAAGTGCGTAGAGAATTGGCCTTACAAAATTCTCATTGAAGCGGCTTCCACTTCACACTTACATAGGTGATTCCTAAACGTGTAATCCTTTAGATTGACACTATTTGATAAATACCTCATCAAACTTAGGTAATCATTAAAGAACGTGTAAAGTTCTATCCTTGTTACTGAACATTGTCTTCATCACGAGAATGGACCAAAGATTTTATTTTGACAATGTTGAACCGGTTAATCACAACTTTGTTTGAGCTCCTTGAACCTAGATCTCGGAACATCCAAAATTCTAGGTAGAGTTACCGCCATGTTGACTTGTCCTCGGCCATAGTCCCATTCCCTTAGATGATTTCTCAACTCCTTCTCTAGTTAAGCCTTTTGTAAGCGGATCCACCACATTATCCTTTGATCTTACATAATCAATAGTGATAATTCCACTAGAAAGTAGTTGTCTAACGGTGTTATGTCTTCGTCATATATGACGAGACTTTCCGTTATACATAACGCTCCCTGCCCGTCCTATTGCAGCCTCACTATTGCAATGTATGCAAAATAGGAGCCAAAGGTTTTGGCCAGAACGGAATGTCTTCTAAGAAATTTCGAAGCCATTCAGCCTCTTCACCGGCTTTATCCAAAGCTATAAACTCTGATTCTATTGTAGAGCGAGCGATGCACGTTTGTTTGGAAGACTTCCAAGATACTGCTCCTCCACCAACAGTAAAAACATATCCACTTGTGGACTTTATTTCTGTAGAGCTGGTTATCCAATTTGCATCACTATATCCTTTGATAACTGCATGATATTTATTGTAGTGCAAAGCGTAGTCTTGGGTATATTCCAAATATCCCAGAACTTGTTTCATTGCCACCCAGTGATGTTTGTTTGGATTACTAGTGAATCGACTAAGTTTACTTATTGCACAAGCTATATCAGGTCGTGTACAGTTCATGATGCACATTAAGCTTCCAACACACGAGCATACTCCAATTGAGACGTACTTTCACCTTTTTCTTATAAGATGATGATTTAAGTCAATTGGAGTTCTTGCACTTTCTAAATTCCAAGTGTTTGAAATTTTTCAAAGTCTAATTTTCGCGTAAATGTGATTTGAGCAAAAGTCT